CTCTTACACGGGGAAAACCAAAGAGGGAAACACAAAATTACTATCTGAAACGACTTAGATTAATTAAAGCCAGTAAAAACGAGCCAAGAGAATAATAGTAGAGCTGACAAGAAAAATGGCTGATTCTAAGGGAATTTCCCCCTCTTCATACACGAACTCGTGAGGTGCATTTTTCCCTTATCTCATGTAAAAAGCGCTATGTTTATGCGCAGCTCGCTTCTTTCGCTCGCCTGGGAAATCGCTATGTTTATGAATTTGCGTCTTGATTCTTCGCATTTTTTGCCCGCTAACAGCGACACTCATGGCAACTTTAATGTAAACTTGTTTGCAGGAGCTTATCCTGCTGCTTCCCAATGTTCGACACGTGTAGATTTGTGCTTTCTCAGAATATCACTGTTACATTCCGTTGTTTGGTGCGATCACTTTTCTTTTGAGTGTTCTCTTATTTCTACTGTATTTCTGTGAGTCAGCGTTAAGGCGTAAGGCTGCTGGTTTGCTGCTATTTGTGCTATGCTAATGCTGTTCATCTCGCCTACTTTACTTTCGCCTTGATATCGTCCGTGTAGCGTCAGGTTTTGCCTGTGTGCAATTTTTGTGCCTTATTGAATGATGTTCTTCCACTTTGTTAATAAAGCTCGAATTTCTATGTTCCATTTCTTGATTCACTTCTAGAAATCAATTTGCTGAAAACAACTACCATAATGGTTATTGGTCGACTTTCCCGGTTGCTGCAAACCTTAACCACATGCTTCAAGAGAGGGCGTAAACACTAGTTTATGGAATGGTACGCCCGAAGCTCATAAGCTCAGGTAGGTCAGTTGGCCAGCAATCAGGAGCTTTTCGTATTCCTAAACTATATGAAGAAAAGCCAATCGCAGAAACAACAGATAACAAACAGCACAGCAGTGCAGAGTGACGGTCCGATTTTTCCACACATTGAACGAATCTGCTTTTGCTTTTTTGGGCAGGAGACGGCTCCTCTAAAACACTGCGCATTCCTTAGAGTAGTAGTTGGCAAGGAAATAAGCACAATTCGAGAACACCAAAAAATCTGTACTCTCTGTTTTGCTGCGGCGCGTCGGCTTTCTCCATCTCGTGCACGAATCGCTGTAATGCTCCCCAGGAACATTACAAAACGCACAGCGCATATTCTTTTCGTCGAGACGGAATATCAGACCTTGGAAGTAGCGCGAAAAACACCGTAGCTCGCGCCAACAGCTCGATTCGGTTTCTCAAACAAAATATCTTATCGTCCATCTCTTTTGTTTTCGCGTAAGTTCCTCGAGACTTTCTTCATCGTCCACTACCACACCTTCCATGTAGTAGTCAGCGTTGGCTCTGATTGCCTCCTGCTCTTGATGCCTTGGTGCATCAGCTTCCCACTCCTCTCTTGAAGGGTTCTGACTGGCTTTTTCGCTGGCTTCTTTTAGTTCCTGCAGTTTGCTTTCAACAGAGTTCATGGCTTCTAGGACTGCTTCCTCGAGGTGCTTCCTGCGCAATCGTTCTTCCTCAAGGAACTTCGATCGTATCGCACGTAGTGAACTGAAGACATCTTTAGCTGATTTCAACTGGTCGCTGATGACGTTTTCGACCACGTCAAGTTCTATCGGTAGTGGATGGTTCTTATTTTCCCGGTAATAACTCTGCGGTTGAGTCATCACCGTCTCCCATGTGCTTTCCGAAATTTCATTTGTCGCGATTAGCACTGGTGGTATTTTATGGTGCATCGCGGATCCGACTTCGGACCACAGGTAAGGTTTTGGAAATGATTCTGAGAGTTATTTCGCTCGATCAAGGTTTCACGATTTTGGGCGATTTTATTGAACTTGAGACTCCTTTTTTTCAATTTGGGTTTCGAGTTATTACTGCGAACTAAAATTGCGAATGAGTGGCCCTATTAGTCTTAGATCGCAGAAAGCGCTTTTGACGCGCTACAAAAATAACTTGATAACCGTAGTGGAAAATAGTAGAACTTTGCTATTGACTGAATCTTCTCTAAGGACGCTAACAGAAGGAGCGATTACGTTAAGGCAAAGTGTAGCATTGGTGACGAAAGCTTTGGACAAATTTATAGACAAAATTGATAGTCTGGAAGAACCAATTACATTAGAGCAGCATAAGCAAACCCAGGAATATATTGAAGAGGCGCAGTCCAAAATGGTTGAAGCGGAGACCCTTTTAATCGATATGGAAGCGAAACGAGTAACTCTTCAAGAGCAGCTGCATAGAAGCGAAGATAGCAATGCATCGGGACCTAGGAGAACAGTAGCGGAATTACCGGAAATCCCAATCCCTACATTTTGATGGTAAAATAAGTGAATATGAAGATTTCTGGGCGCTATTTGATTCTAATGTCCACAGTCAAGACCTTACAGGGCTGCAAAAATTTAATTACCTTTTGAAGGCGCTCAAAGGAAACGCTAGGGAGGCAATAAAACGCTACCCAATTACAGAGGAAGAATTATACCGCTGCACTCGAACTGTTACGCTCAAAATTTGGGGATAAAAGCAAATCGATACGTAATCTACAATCACGGTTAGATACCGCTCAAGCGCGTAGCAGCCACATTGTAAGCAGCGTAAATTGCTTGAGTATATTTTCCCTCTTGTTACTCAATTAGAACAGAATGGTATCACGTTA